CCCCCCCCCCCCCCCCCCCCCCCCCCCCCCCCCCCCCCCCCCCCCCCCCCCCCCCCCCCCCCCCCCCCCCCCCCCCCCCCCCCCCCCCCCCCCCCCCCCCCCCCCCCCCCCCCACCCCCCCCCCCCCCCCCCCCCCCCCCCCCCCCCCCCCGCCCCCCCGGCCCCCCCCCCCCCCCCCCCCCGCTCATGTCTATGCTAAACTCACCTCTCCTTGCAGCATCCTCAAGCAGGGTAACGTCCACAGCGCTGGCGGGCAGGTGGACATAGCGGACGACGGAGCCGCGGATAAACACATTCTTGACGGCGCTGAGATGCGGGTAGCGCAGCTCCTCGTGGACCGAGATGTCGTCCAGCTTGATGTTGAGGTACTGGTCGACCGACTTGAGGGTGCCCGTCACCTTGATGTCGTTCTTGAGCTCGACGGTGACGGACTGGTCGATGAGGGTCTTGAAGAAGCTGTTGGCCCGGGGAAGGGGCGCGTCGGTCAGCGATGATGATTGGGTTGAACGAGGTGGGTGTTGGTGGGATGGAATGAGTGGAAGGACGGAACAGATGAGGTGAGGGCGATGAGGTGACCGGATGAAGCCACATGTAGAGCGAAACGATCGGGGCATGAGATTGGTCTGTATGCTGTGATGCGAGCCCAGCTCATGAAATGTGCTGCACTCTTCCCATCTCCCACGCAGCATCTCTCATCCCGGGCCATTCAAACGAGTGAGGATGACAGGTGCACACTTGCGCAGCTTGTCCATCGTGCGGCCGCACACTCATGACCATGCCTCATACCGCATCCATGACTTCATGGCAGCGACCATCCCAACCCTCTCCCATTCCCTGTTCGCGCCCCCCTGCCCGCCCTTGTCACAACAAGAAAGCAAAACATGCCAGCCACCCAGACAGACGTAGTTCCCAGAGCTTCACAAAACCCAGTACGACCAAAGCCACTCACCTGAAGAACAACATCCTGAGAACAAGACAACAGCAGGCGGGAGACAGGAATATGTCTTGCGTTTCGATCAGGCGTAGCACGAACCGCTCGAATTCGTAGATTCAAGTCGAGAGGGCGGGTCAAGCGAGTGAGACAAGATGGAATGAGATGAGATGTTGTAGGGGGAACCGAACCCGTTGTGCTGTCGTCGTCGTAGTCGTGAGATGTTGAATATCGAAGGTGAGTGAGGCTTCAGCTGGTTTGGCGAATCGAGTTCGAGGTTCGACGTTGCGTTAGTGTGGATGCTTTTGCTGAGGTAAGCAGACTGGGGGCCCCTGCATTCTCTACCGCTGTAACGGCTCTGCGTGCTCTTATTTGGTGTATGGCTCTTGTATGAAGGCAGCATTCACAAACAGCAAGGATCCCACTGGATTGAATATCAGAGTATTCAAAATCATCATATTATAAGGGAAAAGATTCTACGTCTGGGTCATTATTCCTGCCCAGTACCTGGCAGCCACCAGGTACCCATCAGGCATTCCCTGCCAACACCGTACATGTACCCACCAAGCAGGAATCAGGTCAAACCACAAATCAATCACCAGAGACACAACACAGTTGGCTGCACTGAAACAAATATATCATCCAAAGAACAAAGGTATCGTATTTCCGTCTTGAGACAATTTCTTAAAATAAATCCCCTTCTCCAAGAAAAGTACTGGTTTTGGTTTTGTGTACGTGTGTGGGGGGATTGGTGTTTCCTTCCCTTCCTATCCTACCCAGTGTCGCCGCATGTCCCTTGCAACACTTCTCTCTCTTTTCTGTGTGCGGTATTTTTTTTGTGGGCATCATCTCTTTGGTCATGGATCGTGAAGGCGTTAAAGAAAAAAAGTTAAAAAGGGAGAAAGGCCTCGTGCTGTGAACACGAAGCAAGAAGAAACAAGACAATCAATCACAGGCAGGCTCTGTCAGGCTGTCTCTCCCCGTGTCCATCTCCCATCTCCATCATCTGGCAACCAGTACCACGCGTCTGTCTGTCGAGAGTCTCATTCCGTTCATCGTCATCGAAGTAGAAACAAGAAGCGAAAGGGTCCGCGCGGGACGGGACGCACTCAACAAGAAATAAATGAAAATATGGCACTCGGGGAAAGGGGTTTTAAAAAAAAGGAAATAAAAAGATCAGTGCAGCTAGAACATGATTGGGTATCCTTCAACTTTGTTACTGGTGGTGTCGTGATGCAGTCTTTCATGAGAAAAGAGAGGAGAAATATGTTTCTTTCCCGAGCGTCCCCTGCTTCCAAGAACCATCCCCTATCAAGTCACCAATTACCGTGTGGCACAAGGTCTGACAACAATGAAAACCAGTCCTGTGGTCCTCCCTCACTGTGTACCAACCCGTGTCCACCCTCGACGGGCGTCCGTAGGGCCGCCCTGCACCTCGTGGACGTGCTCGCCCACGCGGTGGGGCTCCCGAGGTATTGCGAAGAGGCGCAATCTAGTTGAGCTAAGCAACAAAGGGGTATCGAACGAGCGTCCATGTGGTGCGCATGCGGGCCGTCGCAACAAGGAAATCGATCAGCCGTGCCAAACTCCGCGCCAAACAAACTCCGACTTCCAGGTCGTGTGTTGATAAGGAGACAACGTGGGTAATCGAAATCTTTCTCGCGGTCGTATCATCGTAATCGTGTGGACAAATGGAACCGAGAATCCTCCGCTTCGAGATCAAACGAATTTGGAATCGAGAACACGCAAGGAGCTGTCTCGTGTTCACTCCTCATCATCCTCCTCATCGTTCTCATCGGGACTCTCCGTATCCGTCTTGCTCCTCTTGTTGGGAGTATCCCCACCGCCCACAGATTTTCTCTTTGACCCCAATCTCGATGCGGCGTCCTCGTCATTTTCGTTGTTTTCGCCCCCAACATCGCCCTTCTTCCTCTCAATTTCCGCGACCTCATCTGCCGTCAGGAAACGTCCACCTGGGCCTCGCGGCCGGCGCATGGCATGATTGTGTCGAGATTCGTGCAAGTACGGCTTACGCCCTTTGCTGGTCAGCCGCAGCGCCTCCTCCAACCTTTGTCTTGCTACCCTGCGCTTCAGAATCCTATGGAACTGCTTCGCGTTCACATATAAGGGAGATTCCTCTTGCCCTTGCGGCATCTCAGGCGACTGAGGGTGTTGCATTGCCTGGCCAGGTGGCATCGGAGGGGCGACAGAGGGGCGGCCTGCGGCATGATTCATGATGGCCTGCGGGTTAGGCACGCCAGGACTCGTGACTTGGCTCATTCTCCTCTGGGGCATACTGTTCATCTGCTGGGGCGAACGCGGGTCGCGGCCTGGTTCGGTCTTGGTCTTCATGCTGCCCATCCTAGGTGATGTCTGCAGGTTTGCGTCGGATGACATGGGGTAAGGATAGGCTGATCCAGACGCAGCGGCCGTTGCGGCCATGGCGGCGGCCTGGATGCCGGGAACACCATATTGCATGCCCGCATGTTGGGGCATGCCATACTGTGGCTGATACATGGCGTGACTCTGAGTGGGCGTCGTCTGTTGCTGGGATGGAAGGACAGGCGACTGCTGGATGTGCTGTGCCTGCGGCGACGTGATGCTATTAGCACCCGTGGAGCTGGGATAAGCTGTCGAAATGTGTGGTTGCGAGTTCTGCGGATTATGCTGGTATTGCGCGTACTCCATCATGCTTGCCGGCGACTTGTCGGAAAGCTCTATATAGCAGTCCGGCAGTAGGGTTCGATATTGCGTGCCTGTTAGACAGGTATTACTTGTCGTTCCGGAATGGGTACCACGACAATGTCGGCCGAAAGAAGTGTATATCGTGGTCGAAGGTCGACAAAAGCAGACAGATAATCAGTATCGCGGGTTTTGAGTAGAGGAAGGCTGTATGTGAGACAGTTGAGTGTGAGCCTGAATCAGTGTTGATTTAGGCACGGCGCGCTGGGAAGGGTTGCTCGTCTGTCGTCACTGATACCCGTGGCTTGGGCTTGGTGCACACCCAATCTATTGGATATGCGTGGATGCGCTGGCAGTCGCGAAGGTTGTAGCCGAAGTGCGTTATTGGCTGCACCACGGCACATGCAAGCTGATGTATACGCGGGGCTGGCTGGGTGCAAGGTCCCTGGATAGAATGGGTCCAGGGGCGATGAAGCCACGTGAGGATGAACGACAAGAAGATCCCGCTCTGGAGACGATGATCCACTGGCGGCAATCGCAAGCAGACCCGAGATGCAAAATCCAAGTGATGACTGGTCAAGACAATTTCAACGGCTGATTGCGGGCCGTCGCGAAAGAAGCTCTGACGAAACAACTTGGGAGATCTCGTTTCCTAGGATCCGATGATGTTGACTGACGGTACGCTTTAAATCGGCTTGTAAGATCTATCCAACCATTGGCATTAGTCGTGCTGCGTAAAATAGACCGTCAGGCGTAGAGGCCGGGACCGATAATGATAGACGAGGGGCAGATGGACGAGGTGTGCTAGTTAGGTAGGGATGCTTCGCGCCCTGCTCTCCCACTTGATGCGCTGGCATGCATGACGGAGCATGCACAAGCCGGGCCCACCATGTAAGCCAGCTCAACCACCACCCACCCCCAAGACTTGTTTCCGAGGGCAATGGCGATCAGGACGGGGGAGGATCGTTGCGACAAGCACCGCAAAAAGAAGGAAACCGATCAAGATGACAGCATGACTGGTGCATTTCACTAAGAAACAGGGCATGCATGCAAGCACTCAGCACTGCAGGTGGCCCAACGGCCCTGGTCCGTCTGTCTGGTCAACTTGACCGGCAGCATTTGCGTGCGACATGGAATCACAGGGCAAATGGATGGTTCGCAGAGCATGCGCACACAGGCACGAGTGTCCTCGGGGCTAGGGCGGCGAATTCATGTTGTGCGAGGTAACGTGCGCATCCAGCAGCACATGACAGAGGTCGTCGTCGAGATCCCATGCTGGAAAGACAAGTAGGTGGGATCCGACTAATGGACACGCTTGTGCCGCCGGCACGAACCAACTCGACACAGTCTGCGCGAGTGCGGCGCGGGTGAAGGAACGGGTGGTGAGAAGGATTGTGTATCACCCTACAGGGCCGATTCGCCGCAGGTGCGTGACGTTTAGCCCATGGCGGGGTTCTCCATCAAGGGAACATTCCCGAGCGTTTGGGTGTGTGGGTGAGGGGTTCGAGATTGAGGGTGTACCGCTCAAGGCCGAGGGTATGGCAGAGCGAGTATCCAACTTGGGAGAGGGGTCACAGAGACGAGCAAATGAGCCAAAGGCAAATAGATGGAACGTACCGATGTTTCCCACGGCCGAGTTCAGGCGGAAGCGCTGGCTGGCGTAGTATGTTGGAGCTATAGGGACTGCGTCAGCAATCTTGTACTCGGGGTTGCAGGCGTACCCGTCAACGACAGGGTTGGCTTTGATGGCGAAGTCAAATGTCTGTGATATATGATGGCAAGAGAGAGAGATAGAGAGAGGGCGAGGAAGTCGCACAAGTAACTTGGCTGTTTTATCGCAGAGATAGGGTCATCTCGCTGGAATGCGAGGTCCTTGATAGAGTGAGCCAGAAGATGCCTGGCCTGATACCCAAATGCTGGGGTGAGGCCACCAAGGTGGTGTGGTGAGACGGAGAACGCAGACGACTTGGCCGAACAGGAGGGTTGGAAGGGAAGAGGGGCAGGGCAAGGGTTGACGGGGCACACGCAGGCCAGAGCTTACCTTTAGATCGAACGTGGTTCAATGACCACAGTGTCTTGCTGGCCCCCAAAGGTAAGGCACACTGGCTCTGATTGAGGGACGTTGACGATGTTAAAATTCGCTGCCGCAGGCCGTTGATATCACGGGACTGTTGGGACAGCCAATGGAGACGTCAAGAGTGAAGCTGGCGGTGTTGATAGGTCTCGAACCGTCGCAGTGGTGAGGATACTGGTTTGGTGTCGCAAATCTAGGACGGTGTTAGCTGATTTGCTGGGCTGGTCAAGCCGTTTTATTTTCTGTGTGCGCTGGAGCGGTGACTGGCTGGCGAGCTGAAGGTGGGCGGACCCACAGGACCCACTCGCAGGCAGAAAAAGCCCGCGGGTGTGCGACCACTGGGACGGACCTTGACGGATCGGAACAATCAGGGGGGCAGGGTGACGAAACGACGAGGCTGGCCGGTGATGATGGGATTCCTTCATCGAACAGTCAGTCCGTGGACACCTGCCCGGCCGCTTGGCGAAGGCAGCAGCAGCAAAGCCGGCAGCAACAACGAACAAGCTTTCGATGGTTGCGAGGCTGTCGTTGTGTGGTTGGCTGAGATTCTCATGCTGGTCTGTCGCGTTCGGCACAGATGTAGATGCAGATGCTGGGCGGATGGAGCCAGAGGGGCTGTTTGAGACGACCAGAGATGGTGGCGGTGCTGACGGAGGGCACATAGGCTCATGCAGCCGCCATGCAGACCGACCGAATCCATCTGAGACGGGAGAGAGCCTGGATCTGGGTCTGGGCCATGGTCTTGGCCTGGAGCCTGCGCCAGCATTGATTTTTGCAGCTGTCTTGCTGCAGGCCCAGAATGTTGGCACCCGACCTCATGGCGCGACCTGCAGGGCGGCGAAGGGGACAGGCGAGCGAGGGAATTGCCACGGCAGATGGAAGGGGGATGACAGGCCGGGGTTGGTTTAGAGTGGGTTGGTTGGTTGATTTTCTGACGAGTAGGAAAACCGAGGCAGACAGAAGCAAATCATGATTTCGTACCTTGAGCAGCGGCTTGATGGCGAGGCTGAGAGCGCGTGGAGGAGAACGCGAGGAATGGTCTCCTGTTGGCTTTGGCCTGGATGTCCTTGGACCAGACTGATTCGTCGGGTTGGCCTTGGGCAGGGCTAGCAAACAACTAGGAGTCGTCTGCAGGCTGGCTTATCTTGTGCATGGTCAGCGTCAGCGACTGGCTCAAGTCTAGCTATTGTAGGCCAGACACAGTAGTAGCAACAGGGTGGGAAAGCCGCAGAGAAGACGCAGAAAGCTCAGACACCATGCGGCTGCGTGCGTGCCGTAGGACAGAAAGGCAGAATCCGGGGGAGGCGAAGGGTTGGATGGAAGACTGGACGACGAATGAAACGCGACAGATTCTGGCGCGCAGAAGCGATGGAGATGGGTAGCGGTTTTTGGGTTTGACGAGGGCTGGCCGCTGCTGATTGGGCGTTTCGCACCCAGGGGTTTGGCACTCACGATGTGTCGTCTGGTCTCGCTTGATCTCGGGAAGGGGGAATGGATGGACGGATTGGTGTACTGGAGGGGTTGATGGCAGAGAGCGCAAAGGGGTGAGGGGCATATCCGAGGGACACAGACACACAACAAAAGCGACGATGACCTACCCAAGATGGAGCGAGCGACGACGTGTGGCTGCTTTGGCGCTGCTCTGCTCGATGCGGTGCAGTCTGATGCGGCGTGCCTGCTGCGATGCGACGCGGATGTGCTGCGGGATATGCGCTGCACTGCGATGCGATGCGATGCGATGCCGCCCACAATGGACCAAAAAAAGGTCGACGAATGGACTCTGACTGGACTGGATTGGATTGCTGGATGGGATTCGATTGGGCTGGATTTGGAGTGGAAGCGTGTTGATTGATTGGTGTTGCAAAAGTCAGGGCGGACAAGCCAGCAATTGGCCCAAGTCGCGACCGAGTGGAGGAGGGAGGAGGGGGAGTGATTGGGTTGAGTTGGGGGGATTGGGCGGACTGGGCGGATTGGCGGATTGGCTGGGAAACTCTACTCTCAACTCTGAAGGGGACGAGGAGAGGAGCAGGAGCAGGAGCAGGAGCAGTAGCTGGGCACGCAAGGCACAGCGGCAGGAGCTGTGCTGGCTGGCTGGCTGGCTGGCTGGGCTGGGCTGGGCTGGGCTGGTGAAGGCAGATTGAACTGACTGATTGACTGACTGACTGACTGACTGACTGGGAGAGAGAGGGGAGAGGCCAGAAGGTCGAGACTCCAAGACTGCAAGATGATTCGAGGAAGGGCGGGAGCGCCTTTCTTTATCCGAGGGTGTGAATGGCTCAAATCAGCACGCTGTGGGTCCCTCCCTGCTCCGATGGTCAAGTTCAGGTCAAAGTCCCCAGGGTCCAGGGCCAGGTCCAAGTTCCAAGGGAAGGAGAGAGAACGCAGCTGGGAGGGGGGAAAGAGAAGGGGAGAAAATTCAGCAGCAGCAGCAGCAACAACAGCAGCAAGTAGCAGCTGGTATTGGGGTACGTACCGTCGAGAGGTTTGAAGTATTGATGCAAGAAAGGGTACCTGCTTGCTGATACGAAAATGCAGCTACTCCCAAGTACTTACCCTGTCGAGGAACCTCCGGGTTTCCGAGCTGGGGGGAAGGGACGGACAGAGGACAGACAGTGTGAGGGGGAAAACGGGCAACAGCTCGACGAGCTCGAATTCCTTTCTGGGAGGGGTGGCTGGTGGGGGCAGGTCCTGGCAAGGGCAGCCGACCATCGGTGATGGGAAGGCTTGGAATCATTCAATCTTTTTTGCCCGTCTGCTAGATGCTGGATACAACATCAAATCGATTGATTGATTGATTGATTGATTGATTCACTGATCGCCTGTCTGTCTGCCTGCCCGCCTGCCTGCCCGACATCTCAGCCCTCAACTCCAGACATGCAACATCAGGTCTCCCGAAATACTATGTTGTATGTCGCAGTAGCTGGGCTGCATGCAG